ATTGTGCATTTTGGCTGAAACTTTAATTTGTAAAAATGCATGACTTGTTCAAGTTTAAATAGATGACCAACATCTCTATAGTTTTTGTTTGATATCAAGTTAAATCTTGTTAAAAAAACAGCGAGATATGATTCATCGTACTATTAAAAGCACATTGGTTCAATAATGTTTTTTATTGTTTCTATTCCAGTATCGGTGTATTAATGAGTGTAGTATAATTCATTACCGCAAACTGACGTCACGCTTTTCAACGCGGTGAAACACATGTCGCTAATTTATTTCACTGTGTGGCAAACTTGTGCATTCAAATGTTGCAATTTACACATAGATAATGTGCTTGCATTGTAGAATGATCGAAATGAACATGATTTCCGCGAATAGTTATTTAGGACTACGATTACCAAATATTATCTTCAATATATCATACTTATCAGTCCTAGCAGCGTTTATTTATTTATAAACTACTATTATGATTTCCGCGAGAGTATCTTTCTGGTAGCCACACGGCTACCAAGGCCAGAATCCACTCAGCTCTATTGGAATGTAAACAATGAATGTAAACAAACCAAGTCTAAGTAGAGATTTGTATTTACATTCTTAAAACCTCAATAACTCGTTCATTTTTTTATTGAGGAGATCGTGAGCTACGTACACATATAAAATATGCATTATTTAGAACATTGTTCAAAAATTCATAGGGAAATGTTCGCATGAAAAATGAGATTTAAAAACGATACCAGTTTTTTCAGAACACAAATTTTCTCACAAATGCAATGGAAATATGCGGCCACAGTCAAGTTGTTAGAATATTTATTTGTGAACATGTGTATCAAATTTTAATTCTGTATAATTCCTACAACGGTTAGGTCAATATAGAGCGCAAATCATGTAATGTAAAAGCAACATAGTATTTCAAAGATACAACAAAATTATCGATAATTGTAAATTATAGCACATGAATTATGACACATTGATTTTGTTCACCCATCTCGTGTCTTTGCCTTCCAATCACACAGATGAGAGGTGCATATTTGTTCTATTGTCCTATCAGCATTTAGAAAGTGAAATTAAAAGTCCAATTGAATGTACATTAATGCTGCTTTTCAAGATGTTTCAGTGTGTGCTTTCTGAATTTGTATTCTTATTGTATTCTTATTCTTAACAAGTTTGATTGTTCCTTGGCCAGTGCTAACTGTTGTTCTTCACCGTGTGTGAACGCATTTTAGTCTAGCCCGGGCCGATATGCAAACGTATGAGATATTTAAAAATCTTAGCCCATAAATACACAACCCTTACAATGGTATATTGTAGGGTCTATGCATGGATGTATAAACAGATCTATTTATACATCAATGATCTATGGTAAAACCATGGAGGTGAAACTTAACGGCGATACACAAGACTCGACTGTATTACTAGCATATGAACGAGTGTGCTTCATAAGATTGGTCACGTATATAGTAGCTCTATCATTTGACCATGGTGAACCAGCAAAATATGTCAGTCATTGTTGCATGCAAAATATTGCCATATCATTAATAACTAAAAAGTATAGTACTATTATTAATGGATTCGGACGAATAATCACAAATCCAGAGTTAGGAACATACATCAGGGGGAAATTCTCTTCTCTCTCGGGGTCTCCACACTGTCAGGGGGGAAACTCGTCTCGTCTCTCTATCTCGTCCCCTTGAGGTACGGGATCGGGAAAGTCACTTTAACTTTACAGTCAAATAAGGCACACACAACGAAATACGTTTCAGCTCTCGTCTTAGTCGATCTTTTGGAGCACTCTATAAGACACAGCGCCCTGGGGAAAAGTCCCCAAGACTCTCACAAGGCTGAACCAAGACTCGCCCAAGACTGGACTGCCTTAAGGCTCGCCCCTGGACTGGACTCTCGACTGCACTCTCTCTCTCTCTCTCTCTCTCTCTCTCTACTCATCTATCGTGCTGTGTTCGTCAAGACCAACTCAAACTCTCTTTATTCATTTTCACAACTCTAACCAATTACAAAGCAGTAAAAAGACTCTAGGGCGTAACCTTGAATCATAAAGCCAATCACACTAAGTACTGAATACGTCATATCTTCTGATTAATCGTTCACTACATTAATAACTACGGATGTCAGAATAGCGACGGTATCTTGTAATTAGTTCCAAATCACTGAGCCAAGTTCCGTCCAAAACTTCAAATAGACCTAAACGATGACAGACATAACACAGCAATTCAGCTAATAATCAGCTAATTAAGTCGGTTAACAGATACGCGAAAACAAATTCATGACACATATATCGGCAGCTGCCATGCCCACCATATGGCAAAATAAATAAGTTACATGGTTGGCCTGGACGTGTTGCTTGGGTTTTGATTTCCACTACATACTTCGTGAACGAGCATGGCCGTAACTACATTTACTTTATATCTTAGTATGCTGAATATTAGTATATGTGTGTATTTTAATTTGACGTGTTTCTTTGAAGCGGGAGGGTCGTCAGCTGCGCACGCGCGTGAATTGAGTCCCAAGCGACGATAACAACACACGCTAAAAACGCAAAGGCTCACGGGTAGACGCTTGTTTGTAAACAATTACACGCTATGGCCATCTGACGCATGTGCAGGTGACGACTCCCCCGCTTTAATATGAGAAGTTGAGGGTCTATGACACTGTGATCCATATATTACTGATAAAATTTATTAAAAACAGCTTCCTTCAAAGACAGCAACACCTTATTTCATATTGCCTTTTTTAAAAAAAATCTTATTACTTATTAGTGTTGTAACTTGTGTACTGCATTTTATTTTATTTGTTTTGTAATAATTGTTTGTGTATTGCAATGACATTTGTTAGTGAGTGTTTTTCTTTGCCACGTAGCCATTTTAATTTCGTTCGCCTTTTTTTAATAAATTGAAATACAGTCAGGGTACGCTTACATTTATCAAGTGTTGGGATTATCACGCAGTACCATATTTCACGCCTGCTGTCTGCTTGTATTCACCAGGCTTTTTTCATGAACATAAATATTTTATTTTTTTAATAGAAATGTCTAAAAAACAAACAAATTTGAAACATTGTGGACACAGACTAGACTCTAAAATTCCACGTGGGCAGTGAGAGTGAAAAACAATACTGGCATCAAATGATGATTAAAAAAAAACATTCATGATTAGTAGTATACCATTCTGACAATATCGACCTTCGGGTCACGTGACAATCGCTTGCTTTCTTATTAAAGATTTTGTTTGAGGCAACGACGACCCCTAGGGTCGACGCCTTGACCCACATTTTCCTCGCACTACCTTGACCCCTGACCCCCCAACAGTCACAGGTATTGCGTTCTCTTGTTGCCTATAACGAGAACTCTGTATTCTAGAGTGTACGCTGTTTTACCACGGCACACAGTATAAGAAAAAGATCATTGGGTACGTACTACAACGCGATTAATCGACGCAAATGATCGCATAAGTCGCCGGGAGTGAGTCGGGCTTGTTACTGAGTTGAAGACCCGCATACCCGGGAAAATCGTCCAGTATATGCATACTATGTTATTCACGTTTCATATTTTTTTTTATAGATTAATAGTTAATTGATTTGTGACGTTAAATTATTTTTGATGATTTGACCATAAATTTATTCCCAAGGATCGCCATAATGTTCAGTTGATCAACATTTCTAATTTAATAATTCTCACGTGTTATTATTATTATTTTGCATGAAATCGTACATTATTACCAATAGTGCGTTACTTATCGTCGTGTCACGCTAGGTTTTCAAAGCTTGTGTAATGTGCCTCTGATTATACTGATTATTTTGTTCTATTCATGACATGTTTTCGAATATCTCTGCGCATTGTTGTGGGTATGATTCATTTCAGGGAGATGACGACGATGATGACGGTATTAATAGCCTGGCGTTTGTGTGTGTGTGTGTTTTTACGACACTGTGCTGTAGTCCATATCATTATCCGTTGCGCAGTTTTATTTTGAAATTCTAGTCAGTTGTTGACAGCAGTGGCCTTGGTCATTTATAGTACTCTTAGCCGGATCTCATTTTCTTCGAATGTGCCGAAAATAATAAAAGCATTCAGTTGATCGTGATCACAGCTGGCTTGGCCTGTGCGTTTGTGAAGATCTAAATCAATTTTTCGCTGATGTATTCAGTAGGCATTGTGGGTTTTTTCGCTATAGCAAGTGCGCCATCGCATGCCTGACATTAGGAAGGGATGCCCCTGTGAATTGTGGGTGAAGGCCTGAATCGCTGTTGGGAGAAATAGATTTGCCGTGTCGATTCGAAGTTTCGATTGAGTTTCTGGTTATTTTATGGTGTTCAATAAACTGTCATCGGCAAGATACAGCCATATATCATAGATTGAACTAAAACCGCCACGTCTGCAGTGGACGGTGAATGAAAAAGGCTCGAAAACTTGCGCCGGGCAGTAGGAATCTGTAAGTGTGGGAAATCATTCATTCACGATAACGACCCACTAACATAGCCAAATGCCTCTGAACTAAATGTTGCCTGCTATGGCATATTTTCCTATCTTCTAAACGGCCTTTTGATATATTATACTTTAGAAATCAAACATTTATGAAAGAAAAATATATTTTAATCGTTGAATGTCATTTTTATTATACGCGAAATGATAATTAAAATGTTATGATCACGTATCAATTCTCCCAACCTAAGCAAAGATGCACCCGTGCTCCCTATAACCGGTGCACTCCTTTCTCAAGGCCTTGTCCCTTGCGTTACAATAATGTAGGACACAGATATTTTGGGCGTTTTAATAATGAACAGCGCGATGTCGTGATTATGGCATCAAATTTATATTATCAGAAATAAAAAGGTTGAGCAATACTGTATAAATTTAATAAAATATGGAAATATCGCCGCGATGATTGCGTGATGCACTCATGCTCGAACTCGGCAAGTTGATATTCTTGCGCCATTACCAAAAATTGGTGTGTTTTGGTGCCTGGAGATCAGGCCGAATTCAGTGTTTTGACCTGATATTTTACCCTCTAATTTATCCCCATATGCAGTATTGACAGTAGAAGTATCTTCCCGGGACCCTATAGAGCCGCTATGACTGTCTGATCTCTGATTTAACCGTGAAGACCATACGCTGCATGGCATGTAACGTAGCTAACGGCTGCCATGAACCACAGACAACCGAGGAAGAGCAGAGCCAATACCGGCAGGTAAGGAAAATAAAACCGATACATTTAGGGTGGTTTGGGCGTACTATGCATTTCTAATGTGTCCACTAGATGTCCAGGTATAATATAATATTTAGCTCGAGCTTGTACGGCACGCGGTTTGCGCACATTCAGTTGTTTAATCTGCCGGTATTTTCTCATGTTACACACGCACGGAGAAAACCAACATGGTGGACACTGTGGTCGGGGGAATTTACAACTGTTGCAATCGTGATTTTATTCATTTGGAGCCCACTTTCCGACGATTTATCGGGTGATATTTTAATACAAGGTCTCGAATGGATCCGGTAAGCGAGCCTGGTAGGTCTGTAGGATAAAAATAATAAAAGCCGACCAGTGTCACCAAACAGGAAGTAAAAGCAGGTGTTGGGAAATTGATACATTCTTGCGCGACTCGCTGGCCACTTAGTTGTTCGGTCATCATTTCGCCGGTCACATGTGACCTAACATTAAAACGTTTACTGCAATTGTGTTGCTGTTTGTCCTATTGTTATCAGTGGAATTATTAACTCTCCCCCACACAGTATTCATTTCAACTCGTATTATAGGCAGAGTAGTCTATGAAAAAAAATCAGAACATGAAAATGACTCCCCCTTTTTTTTATAATCCTGTTTCGTTCGGTTCATTGCTGCTGCCACGGCGGGGTGGTGGTGTTGATATATATATATATATATATCTATATAGATAAAACAAATCCTTTTTTTCCACTAGTAGTTAGTTCACCCAACAACAACAGCGATTGACCGAAATAATCATGTCCCATGAGTATGACTGGAATTTCAATAATAACCGTAATGTTGGGGCATGAGAGTCAAGTATCAACATGTACTTATCTATTCTTAAGAATTACTGACCTTGACACAAATTCACCTTGTTCATTTCAAGAAATGGGTGTACCCAACTGAGGAAAAAATACAACTCGTACATGTATTTTTGAAAACAGTAAGACACAAAAAATTCATGGAGGATGTGGCCTTTAGATGTCCCTATCATGACCTCCTTTGTGTTTTTCAGAGAAGTCATTTCAGTTTCATCCAGGAAATGATGTTCATATTAATGTACCAATCAGCGTACAGTCAACGGCTCTAACGAGAAATCAAGAAAACCTGCATATTTCACTGTTCAGGAGATCGCAAAACCAACCTTTTTTTTTTGCAACTTACATCAATGGATATCATACCAGTAGCACTGATTGTATGCTAAATCTATAATGATTATTTGCATGTATGTATGCATTTCCTTGAAAATCTCATCAAATTAGAGTGCAAAGAAGAACATGTAACCCCTCTCCCCACAATGCTCTTTGTGAAATGAATTCTAACTTTGATGTTTTGTTTCATGTTTTGTTTAGGAGCGGTCGTGGTGGTATGACCAAGGGGCCTGGGCCACAAGCTGTAGTCAGTGTAAGTATATTCTTGAACACATGGTTTGTGTTGTCAAGTGGAAATCATGATATGACATACTTTTCTCGGTGGTGTTATTAACAACAACAACAGCAGCAGCAGAAGCAGATCTATATCTGGAACAAATACTAAGTTAATCTGAAGTATCCTAGATAAATGACAAGCAACCCATCAAATCAGTGGTGTGCTGAGGTTGTTAATTTGTATGCTGTTCTTATGATTCAGTGAGTGTTGTCGTTTAGGTTTGTGTGATACCCTCAGTTTATCCCACGTGTGCGTTTTCGATAACATATGACAATTGTATGCTGTGGTACAAGTGACCTGCACCTGTGGGTACATGTAAGATTAAGATTGTCTGTATAAAATGTTGTATATATTTCATTGCATGGCTTGAACTTCATGTATGCATTGAAGGCAATTATCTTGATACCATATGATTGTTGTCTCAGTGCCCTTCCATATTCCCCCCATTTTATTTTTATAGTGTCAAGAGAATTTTATCGATTTTGGCTTTGAAAATAGCTGCTCTCACAATTCCCATGTTTAAGTTGTTGTGTACATTACATGTCTGTATGTCTTAAATCACATGCTCTTTTAAAAAAACAAATTGAAATCAGTTTGATCGTTGTTGCAGTTTGGACAGCTTCATGATTCACATCTTAAAATTGGATATTTATTCCCTCACCATTGGGATTATTAAGCCCAGTCGATCATACATTTGCATGAAACAAAAAATTCTATTGGCGAGTGGTGAGGACCGTCATGTGATAATGTAAGAAATATTGTAAAAACAAACATGGGCCTCTATTGAAGGTGATTGCGTTTGGATTACGTTATATGTCTAGGTAACTTATCTATGTGTGAAGTGCCTTCAATTTGCTCACATTACATTGATATTTGGTGAAATGAGCATGATTACTTGTACTTGCGTAGATATTTATTTTGGGACTCCTCCTGCATCGACGCTCTTAAGTTCAAAATATCCCACACCGGATAATTCTGGCCACTTTCATTGCCTGTTTTTACCACTGTCTGTCAATGCTTGTACTTTACTGACTTTACTGAATTTTCCCATTGTATTTTACTAAGAATGTTTTCTATTTTTATTAACATCTTCAGGAGTTAATATGTACTCACTAATATTACTCAGATTTAATGATATATACTGGGAACTGTTTTATTTTCATTGATTTTTTTTTTTTTTTTTGGGATGATCATTTTCTCCGCTAATTTGAAAACATTAAGTTAAGACAAAATTTTCTGAAAGTCTTATGTTACTTAAAAATAAATAAAAATAAAATGTTTATGACTACAAAATTTCACTGACCTTTTATCTCTCCGGAGATTACATCTGCTTGCAGTATGCAGATTGACTTGTACATTATTCACTGTTCTCCATCATGTTGAATGCTTGCTAGACACCGTGCATAGTAGAAATCATGTTACCACACTCTCCTGCATCATGATTAAAGCACAGCTTAGTGTCTACATACTTTGTACTTTGTTGCAAGTGAGTTCCTCTGCTGGCACTGAAATGAAATACTAACTTCAGTCGGTTAATACACACTTTGCAGTAGACAATGTCTTAATGTACAGTACAGTACTGTGTGTACATGGTACAGTCGTAACATTTGAATTTAATACTGATAATTTTAATGATGAAAATAAACAAATTTACGAAAATATAAAAGCGCACGTACAAATCTAGTAGTTTTCACATTGAGAGAGAAAAACTTGTACCATTGCAATATTTTCTGTTTAAAGTGTCAGAAAGTGACTGATTACCTCTTGACCCGCCCTCGTTTATAGACTGTGATCCTTCTTCCAGTGATGGCGCTGTAGTACACAACTTTTGACCTGAATACTGCATTCGTGGTGTGTCTGCATTGATTGTCGTAATGAACAAGTCGTCAGATAATAATACTTATTTATTAATTGAGATGCGTTTTTTTTGTTGTCTTTTTCACTGTTCATTTACAACCCATACATGTATTTTTGAAAACAGTACGACACAAAAAATTCATGGAGAATGTGGCCTTCAGATGTCCCTATCATGACCTCCTTTGTGTTTTTCAAAGAAGTCATTTCAGTTTCATCCAGGAAATGTTGTTCATATTAATGTACCAATTAGCGTACAGTCAACGGCTCTAACGAGAAATCAATATAATAATACTTAGTTATTAATTGAGATGCGTTTTTTTTTTTTTTTTGTCTTTTTCACTTTATTGTGATTTTAAATTTGAAAAATAGAACTCGATATAAACTTGCATTTTGCTAGTACTGTTATATCTGCTTTAATTTGGTGGAAGATAAATATTCATGAATTTGTGTGATAGGGAAAATATTTTAGCAGTGAAGATGTGTGGGACATTTTGTTTGTTTGGATGCTCTCAAATAATCATCAAACCACTAGGATTGACAACAGTGAAAATATAACTGTACTTGGCCTAAGTTGTAGTTCATGCAGCATCATCGCACGAATACGAATATCAGGCTTTCTTTATTCTCATAAAACAGTTAACATAGGACTATGTTGTGGTTTGGTTTTTGTGTTTAGATAATCTTTTGTGCTACAGAGCCTTGTAAAATGAATGAGACTCTGTGCATTGGCTGCCATATCTGATTATTCTGAATGAGTTAATTTTACCAAAACACTGGCAGCCAAATCTGATAGTCTATTTAATATATATTTTAGCGTGATAATAATAATTCAAAAAGTATGGATGCTTTGGGTTTTACTTTTATAATAATAATAATAATAGGTGTTAACATTCGTGGGATAGTACATGTAATATGAATATAATTATGCAAATTTTTATTCAAATATGCCGCCATGCTTGATTATTATTCTGTAGAGAAGCGATAAAATATTATGGGATACATTCAATATGAACTGAAATGGTATAACGTGCTAAGTAAAACTATTAGTATTTGGTAGGGCTAAATATTTTCAGGTCACTGACCCGCTCGCATATTTGTGCTAATTAATTTTGCAACACCTGCCGATTTCGACGTCAGTCTAATCAGTTAGCGCTGACGTTTTCTCCGGGCTCTCCACGCAGGCAGTCTGTGTCTGGCTGTTAAAATGTGTCATAACAACAACTGGGAGTCCGTATGAGGTATTATATAAGCTTGGCTGTTGGCGCTCATTTGAGATTGAGGTCTATCGTGTAATTAGCATTCGTAGAATGTAGTCTGGATTTTTGAAGGCCACGATGACTAAGGGAATGAATTTATTTCAATCAACTCAAGTTTGCCGTCACAGCGTACATCATTTGTGAATAATAAAAGAGTGGGTATGACTCGCTTGCATTGTGATGTTTTTTTCAAACAACTCGTTCATCATCCTGATTATAGTGACATTGTTTCTGATTTTTGTTTTCAGAATTTTGATGGTATTTATAGTAGTCCACGTTTTACCTACGTTTTAGCTGCCATAACGGTAAGTGGATATTGTGCAAACATTTGCCTTTCTCAGACAGCTTATATTTTGCTGTATTGTTCCCTTGTGGGAATATATAATGCAAATGTATAAAAATAAATATATATATATCACATATTTGATATAAGTGTACCACATATATTGATATATATTTTTTTTTTATTATGGTATTTTATTTTGGTATTGCATCATCTTATTAAATGTGGATAAAAATGAAATTATGATCTAATCTACAAAATAATCGTCATTTTAAAGACAAGAATCTCACTCCCAGCTGTTTCTTGCAATTGATAAGCCTTCTACTTGAATAGTGTGAATTTGCATGGAGAGAACATGAATTTATCTGTACACCCGTGTACATGCTGCCTGCCTTTCTCTGTCTCTCTGAATTGTGTTAATAATTCTATATTCATCATGTTTTGCAAAAGAAATTGAATAATTTTAATATTTATATGCTGCCTGCCTTTCTCTGTCTCTCTGAATTGTGTTAATAATTCTATATTCATCATGTTTTGCAAAAGAAATTGAATAATTTTAATATTTATTTTATTTAGTCGATTTCAACAAGCAAAATTTAAGCTTTTATTTATTTAATTATTGACACATTTCTCAGTGTGCTGACATGTCGCATTTCATACTCCCTCAAACCTCAGTTACGCGTAGTAGCTTTAGGAGGAATGTTCAATCTTTCTTGACCATTTTATAACCCCCGGTCTGTTATTTGTCATGCCAGGGCTGTGTAGTTCAAGTACAAGTAAAAAATGGAGGCACATATGAGGGCATCTTTCGGACAGCCTCACCAAAGGTGAGTTCCTCTCAGTTGTAAATATTTGGCAGTGTTTGAAAGCGATTTATTTCAGTATGAGTACAGATCTTGTACAGGAAGCGATTTTACACTGTGTTCTGTCAGCGTGACCCCTGACCCAGTTTGTATTAACATGCGTGGAACATGTTACGTGTGACGCTGTTGAATTACTGATTTTAAAGTTGAGACTGATCTTTTACGATCAGTCATTCTATATTTTATATGTACATTGTATGTGATTTAAAATGAGTCTTCGTGGTTGTTTCTACAAATGCCATGATTATCTCCCAGTTTGTTTTGACTGGGAGTTATAAATATAGATACGATCGGATTCAAATCAAATATAACCTTAAACACTAGTACACGATTCTCTTTTTTGGTCAATTTACTCCAAACTTTGCTGTAAAAGGTAAAACTTGTTGATTGGGATTTTTCAATGACATTCTCCATTGTGTGAACCAGTGATAGATCTGTCCCCGTTAATGTCAACACCGCATCCTCCTTAGCTTAGTGTGCAAGATTGTATGGTTAGCGTAACAATGGAGCATCCTACATTAAATGGTTACGGTATTCCGCCGCTATTGTCTGTCTTGGGAATTTATGTTTCAAGTCATCCTCTAGATTTGCTGTTTAATGTTACAGGTCACGTTGCCTGAGGGTGCCATCAGTGAATCATGGTTACCATGTAGTTCATCATGATCATTGTTCGCTGGGTTTTACACTGAGCTGTGAAAGTCTTGCTCTTACTCAGCATCGCCAGACCGGTATTTCTAGAACACTTTCAGCAATACTGCCCTCTAACTTTACGGTATTTGCAGTATCCAATTTGAAAATGCCCTACTGTTTGCCCGGAAATTGTGGCTGAATATAAACCCCTGGATTTCCACAAATTGATATACTTTAAAATACTTTATTTTGGCTATTTTCGCTGATGGAATGATTCAGTGAAAACAAAATCCAGCAAATGTACCTTTTTTCCTATATTTTACATTCAGCTTGTCAAAATTCAGTGAAAAACACCCAAAAAATCTTTTCAGCGAAAATTAATTCCAGCTAAAATAAAGTATTCTACAGTACTCTTGATTCTAAGTTGCATATTATAAATTTGTATGACTTTACACTGGGTTGTTGATTTACTGTTTTCTGGCTACGTCACATGGATTCAATGTGCGTCACTGAAATATCATAAATGGCTTATTGGGCATGCTGGTTGGTTGAAAGACGTAATTAGACATGACTACTGTAAAAGATTTCATTTTTCACTGGTACCGTATTTGCTCTATTTGTAGCACATGTGCTTGCATAAATTAATTTTTAGAATAAATAATGTTAATGATCCAATATAAAACAAATGAGATTTTTGGGTTAGGATGCATTTCTATGAATTTGCTTTTAAACTTGATCTCTGTTTGTGGAATTTGTCTTTTCTATTTTCCATTGAATTTAAATCATAAAAGTCAAGTGTTGACCTATTTTATCTATTTAATGACATTTGCCGTGAATCCATTGCCGGTTCTCACTAGCAAACTTGTTGAGGATTGAGGTGAAGTTAAAACTTGGCATGGGCCAAAACCTGTGTGGGAAATGAGTTGAGTCTGCATGTGCCCATGCAGTTTGTGCGTATCTCGGTTCGCTTTAGAACTCTGATGCAACTGGGCATATGCCACCTTTTGTGTGTTGGAATGCATTTAATGGTAATAAAACTGACAACCAGCAAATATGATTATATTGAAATTACTGGTATATAAGAATTTTACAGTCTTGTATACATATGTCTATATATGTTTCTGTTTTAAAATTATAGAGGCCAAGCGGAAATCTACTTTCATTGCTTTCAATCAAAAGTTGCGTTTTGCTGTTTAAGATTGATTTTAAATGAACATTTGTCAACAGAAAATATATGTTCTACTTCCTGTGATTATGCCAACACGGTTCTCTATTTGATATGAACATGGCTCCATTAATTCTAACACAAATATTGAAAAGTAACTCAATCTTAATTCCGATCATATTCGCCTGTGAGAACACTGCTCATGTGAACTTGTACATGGAAATGTTCATAATAATTGTTTAACTTGGACGTTTTTGAATTTTTGATGTGGTAAATATGCTCAAATTCAAAATATCAAAATGGTGGAATTAAATCTGATTGAGAATTAATTAATGCTTTTAACTGTACCATGTGACCAAGCTACATGACATGGGCTAATATTAACATGCTTTCCCCAGAACTTGTAAATTAATTGTCTTGAATTTTCTTTTCAGGCTGACTTTGTGCTGGAAATGGCCCACAAGCTGGAGGAGACGGCTCACCGAGACCAGTCACCGGCTGTACCTTCTCGAGATAGAGTTATAGATAAATTAATTTTAAAATCCCAAGATATAGTTTCATTGAACACATTTGATGTCGACTTGGATTATGCAGCAAAAGGTTAGTCCACCGATGTCTTTGTATTTTGTAAGTTCTGGCTTCGGTAGTGCTCGCTGCGGGTTCCTATATTCTATGACGTAAAGCGACACAGCCACCTTATTGGATACGTTTCATGTGACATATTGTAAATCGCTTTACTTTCAGTAGAGACAACATTTTTGAGTTGGTGAAAGTCATACAATTTTGTAGCAATAAAAATTTCTCTGGGGTCTTATGACACAAACTGTCAGCAACTTCTGTGAAATGTTGTCTTTTTGAATGCCTTCAAATCGTCTAATTGCGAAAATGTGTGACTTTTTTGGATCAATACATGTGGCCTATTTTAATGCATACTGCATGGCTGTGGTATCTTTAATGGGTTTAATCTCTGACATTTGTCAAAAAAACTTCACAAGTTTGACTAAATCACGAAATAAAGATACAGTTTATCTGAGCTTCGCTGTCCACGCTCTGTTGTATTTCAGTGTTATGAGTTTCTACCTGTAGATTTGAATCCATGCATGCTTTCCATATTTAAACTAATGGACAGAGCATATTGTACTTGCCCTTGGTACATTTGACGTTTGAATACTATTGCATGTGTAATATAAAATAACAGATCATCAATGCAATAAGTTTGTTGTAAAGGTGCATGAGACCCTTGAACAGTTCATGGATTCTTGGCCACTAGTCTGCTTATTGCATTTCAATAAAAAACTCCAGTAAGGGAAGAGTAGGAAATCAAACTCGCGGTTTACCGCGGTCATTACCGTGGTGGTGGTGGGTGCTCGCCGGTAGACCGCATTTTATGCAAATTTATGCATAGATTCCATGACCCCGGTTTACCGCGGTCGTGTGCGGTAGGCTCGCAAGGCAATTTACACCCTATTGTTAAGACTATGAATGGACACAATAGACTGGGAAACTAAAGGTTACTTGCCGCCAAGTTCAAATAATAAAAATCGAGTGGTACCAGAAGATTGGAAAAATCGTCTATATTAGTTCGCAGAAGAACACTATTTTATTTTCACTAACATCGCAAAGCAACCCAGAAAAATGTAGACCCCACATAATGTAAAATATTATCACATTATTTTGAATTTACATCATGTATAGTCTCAGGATTTATTTTAAAAGATTAATGTTTCGCGTATACCAATATAATCGGGCGAAGTATAAATTCCAAGTGTAAAACACTCGATGAGAGGCCGCAG